GCAGGGACCGAGCAACGGGAGCTCACCCCGTTGCGGGGATTCAAACCGCCGACCTTCTGATCAGCAAATCCTAAGCTCTGTGGTTTAACCCACAGCGCCACCCGCATCCCTTTTTTAAGGAGTACTCATTAACAAAAATAAAAATACGGAGAGGGATATGCACAGAGGTTAACAGAACTGCATTTGCGCTCCTGTTCACTACTATGCTTATGAAGGGGTCATTACTTAGATCTCTCCCAGATCTAAGTAATGCATCACTGTCAAGCCTTGGTGGACCTGTGTGAAGCTGAAGACGGCAGAAAGTAAGGTGCCCTAATGTGCTTTGCCTGCTCAGTTGAACTGCTCAGCAGATGGAGATGTTGCCGGTTGCAGCTCTCTTGGAAGGACATTATGGTTATTAATGGAGCAAGAGCTCTGCTGAGGCTTGGGTCATTTTGGCGCTGTACGGCATAATTTTATAAAAGGAGGACTCCTTTCTCAACCCTTTGTCCGGCTGCGGGAAAAAAGACTGGACTATTATGGATAGCCTTGGCTACCAGTCTTTAAGAGTAATGACCCAGTTGTGCATTGCTGGCATGAACTTTGCAGAGGTGAGCACACACACACCCCGGCAAACTCAGGATGGGGAAGGAAAAGAAATATCCATGCAGAATTTAAGACTGTTTCCAGATGTGGAGAGCTGGTGTGGTTTAGTGGCTAGAGCGCTGGACAAGGACCTGAGGAGACAAGGGTTCAAATCTCTACTCAGTGGTGAGGCTCGCTGGATGGGGCCAGTCACTGCCTCTCAGCCTAGACTACCTCACAGGGTTGTTGGGGGGATTAAATGAGGAGGGGGAGAGAAAGCCACTTCCGCCCTGCAGAGGAGGTGGGATTGTGGGCGTCACGCCCCCCCTCCCCCGCGTGATTGGGGAAATCCCCGGCCAAGTCACCCCCTGGCCAGGCAATTGGTTGGCTCTGGGGGCGTGGCCTGCCCTATTTAACACAGGCGCAGCCGGGGATCTCCCTCTTTTCCCACCTACCAGCTGTTCCTATTTCCCACCATCCTGCCCTTTAAGGTTTTCGTTCCTTGACCTTGCTATGGACCTCGGTTGGTTGTTGAGGGGCCTGGTAGGAATTTTTCCACTTGGCAAATTGGCACCAGCCACTTGGTTTTCGCCTACCTCGTAGCAAATCGTCACAACTTTCTTGGTATTGGCAGTTAGGCATTGGTATTGGTATTGTTTTGTAGATGGAAGACGGGAGGTAACGCCATCACCTGCCCCGCATATTGAAGGGTAGTCCGATAAAGGATGCCGGGGGGTGTGGCCCTGTCCGAAGCCTATGGAGGTGAGTGTTAAGTTGGGGGTGAACATATCAGACGACACAGCGATTCTTCAAACAGCTCTTGTTTATTCACGGGCCAGAACAGAACTGAACTGAAGGATTCAGCCAGCCTGCTTATATAGAGCTCCAGTACAACACAACTGTAACCACTTTCTGTAACTATCCAATCACGGAACGTCACTTTCAATCCCTTATTTGCATATGTGGACCTGAGTGAAAACTATCTACAGTATCCCCCTGCTGGCCCAGGGTGAGAACTTCAGTACATAACAGTGAGGGCCGGAGCAGTGACCCCGGGGGAGTTCCTAGTTGATGTGCAGAACTCCCCCTACTGGTGGTTAACCCTTCCTGGACTTCAAGCGGACGGGCTGAAGCTGGATATAGTCGGTTAGGACCAATGCCTAAGCCAATACCGCTCATCAACTGTAACCAATAAAGTGGCCTTATTTAGCCCATTAACCTTAATAATTGTGTCATGTGTCTTTATTTCCACTGGGAGCAGGGTGGCAACTCACCACTCAACCGTGAGGCCACCTTGAGCTCCTTGGAGAAGACGGTGGGATATAAATTTAGTAAATAAGATGAGTACATCGTGCACAGTACTCTGAAGAATAACTTAACACCTCTCTTGTTTTTGTTTCACGTCCATTTCTAGGTAGTGTTCATGGCTCAGGGTTGTACCTGATTAGTCATGTCCATTCATTTCAGCGGGTTAGTCTGAGCGTGACTTAACTGGACACAACCTTTAATAATAAAAATGATTTTTAAAAAATAAATAAAATAATCTCAAAACGAGCAGTGGGTTGGACAATTTCCCAGTGGTGGTGTGTAGTTAATCTGACTCGGGGAACCTGGTTCAGCCAATCAGGAAAGAGGTTTGCTCACAGCTGATTCCTGCATTGCAGGGGGTTGGGCTAGATGTCCCTCAAGGACCCTTCCAACTCTACAATTCTTTGTAGGCATTGAGTCATTGTAGTCTAGGCTTGGGGAGAGAATGCATCACAGGATACTGAAAGCGTTGAAAATTGGGAATGTCCCCATTTGAAACCCTGGAGAGCTGCTGCCAGCCAGTGTAGGCAATACTAAGCTAGATGGGCCAGTGGTAGGCAGCTTCCTATGAGCTGTAGCTCAGTGGCAGAGCACCTGCTTTGTATGCAGAAGGTCCCAAGTTCAATCCCTGGCATCTCCAGGTAGGGCTGGGAGGGACCCCTGTCTGAAACCCTGGAGTGCTGCTGCCAGTCAGTGTAGGCAATACTGAACTAGATGGGCCAGTGGGCTGACACAGTGTAAGGCGGCTTCCAGTGTTGCCATCCTTTCATAAAGATGGTTATGGTGCTCAGCGAGACAGAGGGGATTGAGAAAGAGAGAGAAGAGCAGAAGATGCTACAGCTGCTTCTCCTATTCATGGCAATACAGTGTGCCAAGATATGCCGCTGGGAGAATTCAGCAAGCAATGCATTTGCCTGGCAAGGAAGGGATTGTAATAATATTTTACAGGCTTGAATGCAGCGTTTCTGCTGCCACCTTGTGCTCGTGCTCTGTGAGAGCAATGTTTTGAAGGCTATGCACTGCATAGCACTGCCTGCTATTATTTGATGTGCGTGTGTGTGAATTCCGTAAAAATGCCATTGACGTGATAATAGTTGTACTTGTTGTTGTTGTTTAGTTGTTTAGTCGTGTCCAACTCTTTGTGACCCCATGGACCAGAGCACGCCAGGCACTTCTGTCTTCCACTGCCTCCCGCAGTTTGGCCAAACTCATGCTGGTAGCTTCGAGAACACTATCCAACCATCTCGTCCTCCTCTGTCGTCCCCTTCTCCTTGTGCCCTCCATCTTTCCCAACATCAGGGTCTTTTCCAGGGAGTCTTCTCTTCTCATGAGGTGACCAAAGTCTTGGAGCCTCAGCTTCACAACCTGTCCTTCCAGTGAGCACTCAGGGCTGATTTCCTTAAGAATGGATAGGTC